TCATGTATTTACGAGATTTATTGGGTGATATTGTCTAAGCAGTTTTATCTGAACACACGCAAATTACATTAACGGATACTGTTATAAACTCTCAATGGACAATACTGCCAGATTTCTAAATCCATTGCTATAAGCTATAGTGAGGATACTTATTATTACAAGCTATAATGAGTATTATTATTATTATTATTATTATTATTATTATTATTATTATATTATTATTATATTTTTACTATATTTTTTAACTTTTATTATTATTAATTATAATTATTTGGTTTAATGATAACTGTTGTTGTCATTAAACCAACACCAAAAGTAAATGAAAGTAGCATCTACCAACTTTGACATAAAGTGCTGCCAAAATTTTGTTATCAAGACTAAATGAACCGCAGTCAAAACCGAAAAGTAAAGGCGCGCTCTCGCCCCAAATCCACAGGCCTTCAACGGTTATTAGATACATGCCAACTTTTCGGGCTTTTTCAGCCCTCCTCAGTATCCAAAACAACAGAGAAGCAGATGGAAGCACACCGTGTTTTATTCTAGATATGCAATCTTTTACTCGCCATCCAAGTAAACAAACACAGGGATAAAATAACAAAGATTTTGCATGCAAAGTAAAGCTAACGCTGTCTTGTGGTTAAAATATTGAGACGTTCAGAATTTTATCTCTGATTTATTTCTAAACACAGGATGAGCATCCAAACAAGATGGTAATAAGCAGGTTTTAGCTTCGTGTGCTTTTGCCAAAGGACATACCACACATCTGTCATGTTAGCTCTGTTTCCCCCTGTTTCCCACTTTGTTTGTGCAACCATAAAATACTACTGTCATATTAAACGCAGCAGCTCTTCAGCAGCACTTATTTCTCTTTTTCTTTCTACGTTTGCTTTTTTTTTACTTTTCTTTCTTCCTGTTTTCATTTGTTCATCCCAGTTTTAAAATTCTATGCATGCGATAAAGCTCATTAACTTTTGCTAAAACATTTAATACCATATTTTGTGTTCTTACTAGTTCTTATTACAGATTATTATAGTTCTTATTCAGATTGCTCAGAATTAAACGACCAAACCGTTGATTAGGAATTATAACAAAACATTAAAAGCTCTTAAATAATAGAATTCGCTCCCTAAACCTTTTCAAAATCAGTTTTATAGTTCACAGCTAAATAAACTCAGAAACATCCTATTCTTAAAAGTACCCAAGTTAGATCAATACTACACACGCATATATATATACATACGCTAAAACCAGCCGCTCCACGTCCATGTTGCTTTCCTTGTCTCTTGTCCTAGCGCGTCTAGCCACACTGCACAGAAATCAAAAGGGAAAAACGTCTGCCCGGATGCGACACTGTCGGGTTTACACCACCAATAAACTTTACTGCAGGTATAGTAAAGCCCTAATTTGGAAAGCAACAACAGTTCGATATACAATGACCAGACGGATGGACAATTCTCGCGAACAATTGTCACTACTGGGAACTTCCTGAAAAATTTCTATGCCTGCTGGAGAGTTTTCACTAAAATCGGTTTAAAAGGAGAAAATTCAACCAAGGAACAACGAATCGAGCTTCAAGAGAAACGAAATGAGCGTTAATTTCCCTTTTCAACGAAAGTTGTAGAAATTATGTTTTAAACTAAGAATTTATTTGTCATCTTAAAAAAAAAAATTGGACAAGTTGTTCGAGTTTAAACTGGCATTAAATAATGTTCATGCGGTTTTTATTAGTTAAAACATAACAAAATAAAACTAGTTTCTAAATGTTCAAATTAGACAATTTTGTTAAAGTTTTCTAATCAGGTTCCTCTAAGGTTTGTCTTTAGTAGCTGCTCCCATGTTGTAAGCTTGGTGCAATCAGGGCTGGTTTATTATCCACGAGTCTATAGCTATTACCTGTCATTACTGGTCGTAAAGGAAACGACACTCATGGGTTGTTAGGCCCCAATATATCCCGAGACAGTGTTCAAAGCAAGAGCTTTCATGAACGCTAAACTTTCAGCATCAAATGTCGATTAAGTTTTAGGCAAAATTCTTACAAATAATGTGTTCTAAAAGACCCAAAATTATAATTGTAATTTCTTTTTTCCAGTTTTCTTTTTAGTTTCCACTTTCTTTACAGTTTTATTTTCTATTTCCCCTTTCTTCCAGTTTTATTTTCAATTTCCCATTTCTTTCCAGTTTTCTTTTCAATTTCCCCTTTCTTCCAGTTTTCTTTTCAAATTCCCCTTTCTTCCAGTTTTCTTTCCAATTTCCACTTTTTTTTCAATGTTCTTTTTAATTTCTCATTGCTTTCCAAAGTTCTTTTTTATTTCCCATTTCTTTCCAATTTTTTTTAAATTTCCCATTTCTATCCACTTTTGTTGTTAGTTTCCACTTTTTTCCAATTTTCTTTTTCATTTTCTCTTTTCTTTTTTCTAAACGCTTATCTCCTTTTACGAGGAAATCGTCCCCAACAACAGCTTACGCCATATTTTCTTGTATATCGTTATAGTGTGGTTCACTATCACATTAACCCCTACCGCAAGTCATGTCCACACCTGCTACTAGTTTAAACAGCAATTACAGAGCATTACAATGTTCAGTGTTTAAATGAATGATGGTGGAGAAAAAAGTACATTTGGATTCATGTAATCTGATGTTTGGATAAAAGACTCGACTTTTAAAATTTGAATGAACTATTTAAAAATGTATTTAGGTATGTTGGTCAAATTGTGGCAAGGCTTCTTGAGAGCAAACGCTTAACTTTTGCCATCGCTTCTTTTGACTAGATTTATACTTAGCCGCATGTGTCGTATATGTAAAGAATATTATTTTCTTATAATAGGCCAGAGAAAACATGTTTTTTGCGATCATAAAAACAATAAGGTGGAATGAGATTTGCTGAATGTGTCTCTAAATTTCTGATTTGCCTACAAATTGCATTGAACGTGTCGCCCTCTACCTCATTCTGGTTATATTTGGCAGATAATGCAGATTAACATTTTTACTTCTGAATCCACCATTTCAAATGGGTCTTTTATCAGTATGCTGGATATAATGCGACTATAAAGCACTCACTTTTAAGCCAAAGGATTCCTGTTGAAGGGGCATCTTTCATAAAACTAATTCAATCTTATAAAGCTCTAAAGTGAGCTCCTAGAAAAATGCGCCTCAAATAATGTGAATTCTAACCGCTAATGCTCTGCTTTCCTGATTCTTTCATGACGTCACACATTTCCAGTTAGTCCAAGTACCTGCATCTGTGCTGAGTTTAGGAAGACTGTGCAACCCATATTAAACAGTGCTTAGAGGCAGCTTGCATGCACAGTGTTTACCCTTGAACCATTAAATGCTAAATGGAAGCCACTCGCTGGCTGCTGTGTCCTGCTACTGCCTGAAATAGCTAGAGTTTATAGCAATTCAGCCTAACGGATGTTAGCTGAACAACTTCTCAATAATCCTCCCTCAAATGTTCCTAGAAACTTCCACAAAGAGGACATAATCCAAGACTGAATGGCAGCTTTCAGCACTGACTTGTAATTGATTGTGTAGTGGTTTAAAAAGTGGCAACAGTACATGCTAATACAGGCTAGGCCTGTTTGGGTAATGAAAAGGCCATAGTAAGTAGGAAATCTACCTTTGAAACTATCTCTAATGGCCTAACCGTACAGGCGCGTGTCCTTGAGGTCTAATCAGTGAGGCAGCGTTATTAAAAAAGACTACGCTGGCAGCATCGCCAAATGAGTAGACTGCAAGACGAATGAGAAGCAGGAGAATGTGCCATCATGTTTATTCTTCTGTTGATATCAACAACAATGGCATATACACACACAGTTCTGTCTATATTCACATGAGGAACAGCAAAAAACGAGCATATTGATAACAGCAAGATATTACAAGACGTACATGAAGGTTATACTCAGTGCAATTTAAAATCTACGCTATAACACCAGCACGATAAAATAACAACATTTCCTTTTAGTAAAGTAGGGTAGTTATTGTAGCAAGTATGGTCATCTACACACAAATGTGCGTTCACCGTAGGCAGTTTAAGTTGTTGGGGGAAATCTGTGTTCTTATTCTTCTTATTATTGTTCTTATTTCTTATTAAACAAAGCAGCTCTGTGATATGGAGGATAAACCCTTTCTTATAGGCAAAGCTTTGTCTAGTTAGGTAGTGCCGTGGTACAATCTCTTGAAAATGTTAGCTTGGCTCTGAGCTCGCTAAGTCTTCTGAAGACTTCAAACGCTCGATAAACAACGTTAAGTGTTCAAAGGGTAAATCATATAACTTAAGTTTTAATACGCTAGAAAAGAAGATAGGAAATCTTTAGGTAGAAATCTATATTGCAAATTCCCCATGATTAGGTAGCTTCTTTCGAGATTTTCAAACGATTGCAATCTCTATGATCCCAATAAAATAATCAAAGAATTACAAAATGTAATCTTGCTCATTTTCATCACAAAGCTTAATAATAAACTACACGTACTAATCGATAGAATGCGAAATTCAGAATACATATTACTACACTTGTCAATGCCGTTTTCAATAAAATGGCACTAATGAGACATTTCCATATTCTGAAGATTACTAACATTGTTTTTACCGAAACACCGGCTAGTTTTGTATTCTTCGGTCATGTCGATATCAGAGGGATATCAAAATATTGTGACTAGTTCTATATACAAGATCAACACAGTCTGTGGAAACGTCCTAATGCCAGTAGTTCACAAGGACTTGGTGTGAACTGGTTGCTACTCGTGGCTATTTTAGTCACATTTTATTATTCACAACTTCCTGCCAAGTATGAAATGCAAGTGACTCCGATAACCAAATATCATGCCTTTAGATTCCCAAATTAAACGATGGCTCGACATTTCTGGTAACCTACTCTGATAACAGCAAATACGAAATTTTAGCTTTTTCCCCCTTAATGGTAAAATTTCTCGAGCGGCGGTAAAAGAGCTTTTTTTCTGGGTTGATTGAGAGTGCTTTTATGAGGAGACTGATGTCTGTGGGCTTTTTTTCTCACTTTTTGACCCAACTGTTTGGCGGGTCGTCTCTTTCATTGGCCATCCTTGAAACCTCTTCTATTTCTGCCATATAACCATAAAAAGACCATAAAATCACTCCTTGCTTTCCTCTTTCTCTTCCGTTTCCTTTTCTTCTGCTTCTTCCGCCTCCCCGTCCTCGTTGCCCTCTTCCTCGGCCTCTGCCTCGGCCTCTGCCTCTCCCCTCTGGCCTGGAAACTTGTCTTTGTTATTCTCCTTTTTCCACTTCATTCGCCGGTTTTGAAACCAGATCTTCACCTGCCGTTCGGTCAAGCTCAGCGCGTGGGACACTTCGATCCGCCGTTTGCGCGTGAGGTACGGATTGAAGAGGAACTCCTTCTCCAGCTCGAGAGTCTGGTAGCGGCTGTACGTCTGCCTTCCATTGCGTCTCCCAGGGGCTTTGGGGTGAAATAGGAAATGTATATATTAATTGCACCAATCAAGTGAACGTTTAGGTGTCCTGTTTTTTCAGTGTTCTCCATTTATTGTCATGGTCAAGACAACATACAGATACATAACAGATGGATACCTGCAATGTGTAGCCATGCGTCGTAAAATAGGCTGTAATTATAACGATTTGTGTATTCTCTCTCTCTCTCTCTCTCTATCAAACACCCTTCTTTACAAACACATATGCATAAACACACACACACACACACACACACACACACACATGATTCACCTGTATAATGTAGGCCTGTCACCACTGAGCCAGGGAATAGAGCCAAAACAATATTAAAGGTCAACAATTTGATATCATTATGTTTAACTAGAACCGCCCAATCAGTTACACACCAAATATGTCATTGTTGAAAACTTTTCCAGTAACATAAGTTCTGATTCGTGTAGTTTCATGAGAAAAAAATGATAAGCCAATTTAGGTAAAGGTGGAAAAGTGGGGTTAAATTTTCACTATTAAATGGTTTCACGTGCAGTGCTGTAACTTATACTTTAAAGCTGGAGGCAGTGTCTCTTTCTCTCCCCCCCCTCTCTCTCTTTCTCTCTCTGACACACACACACACACACACATTTTACAGCCACATTAAAAGAACACAAAGCTGCATTAAACTGAATTTCAGGATCACTTGTATCTAAATCAGCTCTTTAGGCATTGTAAATGCTAAGATGCTAAGAGAAGAAGCTAATACAGATAGCTTATAGTTTTAGTCCTTTAATTACGACACTAGTTGTTTTGAGGGAGAAAAACGTAGCAGACGCTCAGATATTGGTACAGCTACATTTAGTCAAAGATGAACGAAATCATTTGCTGATAATCATTCAAGAAACCAATCGAACAGCGCTATTTCGTCAACAACCCACAAGAAGTGTCGCCGACGAGCTCATACACATCAGCCAAGATCCAACCTGCTATTGTCAGTCTTTCCTTCTCGTATTTAATAACGGTAGACGAGCTAGCATAACCGCTACCTCTTTGATTCAGACTTCTAAAAGCCTGCCTGAGCTTATCCTACATTTAACCGACCTTGTTTCTTTTGACATTATATGATGTCTCCCTCTAAACACGAAGCAGCCAACCGCCAGAGCGTTTTACATTTAACAGACAGGGCTTATCTTGGTCAATAAATGCTTAAATGTTGATAACATTGACTGGCTTAGCTGCATTCTGAACACCAAGTTTGCTATTTGCAACAGCTAAACAACATGGCATAACATAACGGATAATAGCTTTAGCACACAAACAAGCGCGCTCACAGAGAGAGAGAGAGAGAGAGAGACATTCAAACATGGCTGGTTTTGAAGAGAATGAAAGTAAAATAATAATTATTATAATGATAATAGTAATAATGAGTGCTCTAACCGTGGGGTCGCATCCATGGGAACATGAGGCTGGGAGAGGTATTCTGATTTAAGTGGCCTTGTCCTTCTCCAGGGTTAGAGCTACTAGACGATTTACAGTCTGGGTACTGCGCTAAGCTCGCCTCTTGCTGGGTACCATAAAGCGATTGCCTCGGAAGAGCTTCGTATCCATAAAATTTCGTCGCGTCTCCGTGACACGCCAAGGCGCAGGGGTTCTGCTGGTAGCCGGGGTTGGAAATGCCCGTGGTACCGTGATGGAAAAAGTCCTGTACGTGATGGGACGGGTGCTGGAAGCCCGGCGCGGCTGCTCCATGCCCGTACACTAGCGTGTGGCTCCGGGCAACGCTCTGTGGGAACCTGCAGTCGTAATAAGTTGGCTCTAACGTCTCGCCACCTTTGTACTTGGAGAAAAGAGGGTTAACAAAATAGGAGCTCATGTTTATCTTGCATTAAAAAAAAGAGAGAGAGAAAGAGGAAGAAAGACAGAGAGAGAGAGAGAGAGAGGGAGAGGGTAAGTCTCTTGGAAGTATATTCCTCTTGTCTAAGTGGTGGCAACCTATTGTTGCTGTTCCAAATGGCATACAGCGTAGAGCAACCGGAACTAGATGGAGAAATGCTGCCCCTTCGGACAATTTGAGGCAGCTCCCACTTCGGCTCCCCTCTCCTCGACTCTCTCTCTCGCGCTATCGCCAGCCGTTTCGCTTTTGCAGCCCTCAAATCATGGCGTGCACGGTGGATGTGTGTTAAGGTTAAAGCTGGCTAGCTCCGCCGGCTCAGTCACAAGCGCTTACTTTTTTTTTGCTTCCTCCTCAACCACCCCCACTACAATGAGCCCCCCTCCTTCCCTCCCTCCACTCTTTCCCCCCACCACCCCACCCTTTGCCGCTTCATCTTTCCACAGCGTCTACAGACGTCTACCTTGAGGGGCGAGACACCGTTGACCGCGTTCTGGAAAAAATAAATACATACATTTAAAAATGTTTTGCATGTTGTCGGCACTAAAACATAGCCATGGGCAAATCAGGTTAATGTTTTCTACGCTATAACCTTGCGTCTCTTGCACAATGAGGGCAACAATGAGACATAGAGATGTTTAAAATCTACTAATGTAAAGATTTAGATTTGAAATGGTCCAGTATGGTCACAGCTCACACGGTGTAGGCTACTAGAAGCTTTTCCATGCACAAGTCAGTATATTAACATGCTTTAAAGCGCAAAATGGCTCGATGTTCCAGCGCAGACCGTCCTAGCAGCGATTTCACATAACTGTAGATCAGTTTTAGAATGTAGGGCTTGTGCTTTAGCATTTATATGACCCTGAAATGGATAGCGAAAGCCAAACCAGAGTAACGACAGCACCCCCCCCCCACCCAGTACATTACAAATACAATTGCAATACATATAACGATCTAGAAACAATTGACACGGCAATAAATAATAAAAGTGAGTCATTACTACTACAATTGCTACATTTGTAAAATTTAATCAAAGCTGTTTTTAATTACTCTGCATCAACAAATATATATTATTAGTATTAGTATTTGTATTAGTATTGGTGGTGATATTGGTAGTAATAGTGGTAGCACCAATAGCGGTAGTGGCCACAGTCATAATAATAGAAGACGCAATAGTAATTACAAGTAATTATTGTTACTTGGTTCTTTCGTTTTATTACTTTTATTACGTTGCTACACCCGCTCCACACCACACACACACAAAACCTGTGTGAACACGCTGACTTCTCCGTCCCCTCCTAAACCTTGCAAAGAAGTTGTAAATCTGCCTCCCCGAGTCAATAAAATTGCGCATTTAGATGCTTTAGTTATTTCAGTAGACACGTTTATCCGCTGTTGTTTAGCTCCACGCAGCTCTTGTAGGGGCTCCCCAAAATACGAGCATGCGGTTTTGTGGCGCTACTGACGATTTTTACACTTCGTCGTTAAAAATGAAAGGTACACACTGGAAATTTATAGACCTCACACAGTCTATAAAGATGCAGATTGTTGGTCACTGGTTGTCTTTATTTCAGTAGCACTGGAGCAGGCCCATCACTGCGAATATGGGTTTCTTTGGCATAAACACACATTCATTTTGCACTATGTATTTATATTTAGAGTCTTGGCAAAAGACTGTTCAGTCTGTAGGACTCATCCTAATTAATTGATATTAACTACTATTAGCAAATGTGCAAAGTATACATCAAAAAATAAAGTAGGGCAATTGTTAGGTTGCATATATATATATATATATATATATATATATATATATATATATATATATATATATATAATTTTATATATAATGTATTATTATTCAGATAATACAATTAATATTAATAACAATAATAATAATAATAGTAGTAGTAGTAATAGTAATAGTATTATAGTGGCATTGTTAATGCTGGTATGCCATAAGCTATGCATGGAATTATGGAATTTTCCTGTGGTTCAAAGTTTTCGTATTTTCCCCTTTGTTTTATCATCTGAATCCAAATATTTTCCTTTTTGTTTTCATTTTCTTGCATTCACAGTAAAAGCGAGGCTCAGATTTATAGCACGGGTGTTTGAATAAGCGCTCGCAAAGAAATGAATTCTTGGACGAACGACTAAATTTGCGTTAACATTTCCAAGTTGTCTCCAATAAATTTGGTCAGCCGTGACAGCATATCACATAGGCCCGAACGTAAAAACACTGCCCTCTAAAACATCAGCGACTGACGCTGCTTTTGAGCTCGAGAGAAAGGCTCGGGGAGGAGTGTGAAATAAAGGGACACGGTGCGCTCGAGAGCCCAACGAAACAAACGGGAATGATGAGAAACAGTGGCGTTTAAGGTAATGATAAAGTGGAAGGGAGTTTACTACATCAGAGTGTTGACGTTTTAGTTTTATTTTAGTCGAAAGCGTGATTAATGACAGAGGCTGCCATTCTTTTCAGCACTGTTTTCCCAGCGCACATCGCAGGCCTCAGCGGCCCAGTGAGCGCTAAGCGTGAGCCAACAGCACCATCTAGCGTTCAGTTCGCGTACAAATCCAGACAGCCAGGCCACTCTGCGTTCTGCAAAATCATGAAATGCACTGTTGACTAAAATATCTTAACTTAAGCCATTGAATGTTTACTTAAAACGTTTACACTCTATCTGCAACAAATCTAAGATTTTTTATGCGGTTTTGAATTTTTAGTGCAGATTGCTTCTTTAACTTTTAAAATAACAATAAATTGTCGGTATAGTAAAAAAAAGTTTAGTGAAACTGAAATACTGCCTGCGTTCGTTCCTGAAAGCCTGTTTGAGGTGCTGGAAGAAACCTGGAGCAAGCTGGCGGACTGGTGTTGTCTTAGCCTAACAGACTAAGTGGGCCGCTCTCTTTGAACGGGACCTCCACCAGCACACTAGGCCTAAGCCATAAAGTAATTTAGCCCAGACGTCTAGCCAGTTAGCCAGGTTTGCTTTGTTCGTCTGCATCTGCGACAAACAACGCAAATTCTAACAGGGCTGTAAAACTAGCATTTTTTTGTCCTGTGCGGAAACGCGGTGGATTGGGGCTTTGAAATCTCCGCATCCTGTTCGTATTGTTAACAGCCACAAAAAGGCAATTTCAGCTGTGCACAGGAAACTAAAGCCAGACATGTCTTATTATTTCACTTAGATTCAATTCACGACCTTTGCACATACGTCTATGCGCACAGATGTCATGCCGGTATTATGTCACCGATACATTTGAGACAACGTTTAAGTCATGCATTAAAAAGCGCCCAACTTCATCTATTTGATCACTTTGCTTTGTTAGACTTGTGTCACAAAAATCACACCTCAGTTACTTGTAGGCCGAAATAACCAGTGTTGATTATTTAGTGTCTATAAGCAATAATGGTGTTTTTGTGGTGGAGAGTTTCACTGTTTATGTTTATGTTGCTCATTTTTTTTGTTTCATGTTTTTGTTTTTGATAAATTTGAAAAACGTCTGGCCAAAGTCCGCGAAAGAGCAAACTGTCAGCTGAGTATAATATTGGGTGAGGATGATATGACTCTTATTACTACTACTACCAATAATGTTAATAATAATGTTTAATAATGGTCGTAATTTATCTTGTACAGATTATTATTACTACTATATTCACATTATTGCCATTATCACTACAAGTACTGCAAATAATAATAATAATAATAATAATAATAATAACTATTATTATTATTATTATTATAATCGTAGTTGATCGTGTGCAGTTTATTATTACTACTACGTTCACTACAGCAGAACCGTTAGTATTAATACTGCTACTACTAATAATAAAAATACTAATAACGCTACTCCTATTACTTCAACTACTACTACTACTAATAATAATAATGGCAGCAGTAGTGGTGGCAGCATTATTGTTATTATTATTGCTATTATTATTATTATTGTTATTGTTATTAATATTATTATTATTATTATTACTAGCAGTAGTTGTAGAATTATTATTATTATTATTATTATTATTATTATTATATTATTTTATTTTTATTTTTTTTTGTTTATTATTATTATTTTCATGAGTAGTAGTATACCACTAGTGGAAGCAGTAGCATTTTATTATTATTATTATTATTATTATTATTATTATTATTATTATAGCAGTAGTAGTATAGTAGTAGTAGTAGTAGCATTAATGTTCGTGTTGTTATTATTAATATGATTATGAGTAGCAGTAGTAGTAGTAGAATACTAGCTGCAGTAGCAGTCGTGTTGTAGTTGTTGTTGTTAAATTAAGGACTGTAATTGTTATTTCTTTTACTGTTATTGTTGTTGTTGTCGTTTGTCTTGCAGTTTAAATTCCAAGCGTGTCTGACGCCTCGAAAGCCACAGGAGTGCTGGTCTTCAGACCAACCTCAGATCCTTGGTCAGGGTTAGGAAAACATGCAACTGCTCAGAAAACAGATAACTCAACAAGGCCTTGGATAAATAATTATGCAGCGTGGTCAGTGTATATGTTCTGGTTGTGTGACGGACATGTAGCCGACCACATTCTGCTTTTTAGCGATGGATATTTTCGTATGTTTGAGGACAAATGTTGACATGCAGACATGCATATCGGCTAACACTTTACAGTGTAGGTTTGTCATCGTGCATGACTTTCCCTGGTGAGCCCAACCCCGATACTTTCCAGATGAGGACATTGCTACATGCAGGCCAAAATCACTCCTCTAGCTGGACAGCCTACAAGGCCGCCAGCCCCGCATTGCTCTGCGTCGCAGAAGTGTCCTTTTTTCATGGGAGTGTTTCAAAAGAGTGATCGGAATGAGAGACAGAGTCAGTCTTAATATTAAGGAGGTGGTCGTATATATTTTAGCATATCTACAATCCATAATGAAGACTATCTTTACAATTGAAAGAATGTAAAATGCACAAACAGATACATTTAAAAACAACAAGGATATCACATCGACGCAAACATGAACTTTTTAAACTAGGTAAGTGTCCTTCCTTACAAAATATTGGAGTTTTACACCTGTTACAAACAAACAAAACACACATCCGAGAAAACATTCACGTGAAAATCATAAATTACGAAGTTGAAAATAGAGTAGTTCAAGTATTTTCTTGCTTACACTTCGGGGCAGCTTCTCAACGGGCTAGAAAGTCCTCGCTTTCGCTCTGGAAGTAACGAAACGTAATCTAAATCCAAACAGGCCTAGATGTGCAATTAAACATGGTGTTAATATGAACATAGGTTGGTAAAATTACAGTTACCAGAAATTAGAATTAGAATTAGACCATATGAAGAGGACTGTCGGTGTATATAGTCTATTCTCAATGTTCCTGTTAAGACTTTCGAGGACAGCCTTCTCAAATGTTCAGTCTCTTATCAGCAAAACAAGTTTTGGTCGATTATTCCTTGCTGTCGCTCTTCTCCTTGTTCATTTTCTTCATCTTCATCCGTCGGTTCTGGAACCAAATTTTGACCTGTCGCTCCGTTAGGTTCAGCACTCTGGCCACCTCATACCGCCGGTCTCTGGTCAGATACATATTGAATAAAAACTCTTTTTCGAGTTCCAGGGTTTGGTATTTTGTATAAGGGCACCGCTTCTTTCTTGTGGAGCGCGCGTGAATCCAGTTGGCCACGGGATTGTCTGCAAAACAAAGTGTAAAAAAAAAAAAAAAAATTAGACAATCATTTTAATACACCCCGAGGCTGCTGTGGACTAAACTACGTCCTTCACAATGAGTGCTACTGGACATGTTTGTGTCTCTTGAAACAACAAACTGTCTTATTTTTAGCTTTCAGCTGTCTCAGTTTTGGAAAAGAACTACTGCATCCGTTAATTGATACATTACAGTAGCTGAAACGTAATGAAAATTCACAGATCATCTCAAAATCCTAGTCTTCCCAAAGCTCTGAAAGTGCTTACTCGCTGTGAGTACTGGCGTCGTAAAGTAGTGAATACATCTATTCGCTTTATAGGCCCATAAAAAAGCCCAAAGCGCCTTGTGGCTCAAGTCTGCAGTCAAAACGTCCCACTATGCTCTGAATGCACTGCTCACATTCCATTTGCTCTTTGTCGAAGTTGTGGTTCATTTCTGAAAATCAGATTTTGATTAAAAGGTATGAAAGACCTTTATTGGGATTACTTAGTTAAAAATGTGTTATTCCATTGAAACGAGTGAACTAAAAATTAGCATGGTTCTGTACAAACGTAGCCCAACTTTAGAAGCAGTTAATTGCACACCCATAATAGTTCTACACAGTATTTTTATTCTGAGGGCGGAAAGACATTGTAATTCACGCGTTACTACTACCGTCCGTTTCCACTACTGCTACCCAATCCATGTACCAAGTAGTGGTTAAAAAACATATAAAACGCACGTTGTTGTAACTACGCCTTGTTAATATTATTGGAAACTAAGCACATGTAGCTTAAAATCCACAGCCGTGCCAGACCTGTCTTTCAAGGAGACCACTTTTATAACCCGCTACCCGTTTTACAGCCCTGTCTTATGGCGTTTTTCCTCAATGGATAGCCCCCCAAAGCAGACTTGAGCCAGCCGAGAACGGCAGGGGCTAGATGAAAGGGTATAGAACTTGGTTTTACGACGGACGACAGCCAACAAGCAAGCGAGTGCAATAAACCCGAACTGCATCTCAAACCCAGTTGTAAACAAGAATGGCTTACACTTACTGGGGTCTAATTCAGCTTTCTCGTCTTTGTGCTTCCCGGAAGACAGGATCTCCGTCTCAGGCGAAGGTGCACTCTGCTGCTTTTCTCTGATGTCGACGGCGGAGCAGTAGAGATAATCCGAATAGGTTCGTCCGTTTGAAGCCAAGCAGTCTCCAGTCCGGGGGTCCTGGAAGGCGTCAGGCTTCAGCCCATAGTGCCTACCGTTAGCTGGGTAGCCTGGAAAGGACACGGTACCGGGGAGAGGCTCTAGCCACGAGCGCACGTACCTTGAGTCTGTTCCTAAGTGAGGCTGGTGAGTGTACGGGTGGTAGACCACTGACGACTGCGAGTGACCAGGGGCCCAAGAGGTAGTGAAAACGGGGGGTTTCGGGGCAAAGCTGCAGGACGGATAATCCACGCACTCCGGTACCAGCGGCGTCGGGCGTGAACCGGAGGAGATCGGAGCAGCGGTGGGAAAACGAGTCGCCAGCACATCCTCGCTCTCGTGGTTGATCAAGGAATCCACATAGTAGTTACTTATGGGACCCGTAGTCGACATGGCGATGCTGCCGTCTCTTTTACATGCATCCGATTATTATATGGAGTGTATGTGTACTTTTTTATCTGCCCATAGAACAATCAAGCCAGGTAATTATTTCTCAAAGCTTCTCCAGCTGCGATTGGTCGACTAGGAAACACGTGATTACATTTACCCCCTGAGAAAAAAACCGCACAGCAGATCAATGCGCGGGTTGTCTTGGGATAGCATTGCACTTCAGGATTGCAGTAGGTTGCTGAATTCTAATGTTGTTTGCTTAAAGCGACTCGGATGCAACGTGACAGAGCATATTCGACTGTCATTGTCCTGATTTTCTAACATGAGGGAACGTTCTCGTCTTGGTAGAAATGCGCGAAGTATATTCAAGGTCTCGCCGAGGCACTACTTTTTGGTGTAATCAATCTTGGTCGAACATATACGAGGGTACTCTCTGCTCTGGCTAACATTTTGCGCATCATTCCCAGAGTATGTTATTATGTAAGCTAACTTATTATTTAAGCTGTCCTTTGCGTCTGCTGCTGTTTATTGTTTGTGTTATTTTTTAAATACAGATAGACTTTGTTCAAACGCGTATGGAATGGACTTCTCCATGGCGCAGATGTAGGACTTTGGCTTGCTGTTGCGCACTGGAACCCTGAGCTTCCACCAGTTTCAAATAAACACATTTCGGGATATCCCTCATAAAACGGAGTTTTAAAAAATCGCAGAGGTGGGAATAGCAAGGCGCTTGCAAACTTGGCCACTACAGTGGCTGGATTCGGCAAGTGGTCGTGCATGCTTTTATGTCCTTCAATAAATTTTTATGAGGACCATTTGATTGTTCATAAACGTGTCGTTAATAAAACTGCAGTTGAGTTTCTAGCTTAACATAAAACCAACACAGCGCTTGTGAAACAGGTCTCATCAAAGCTAAACGTCGAAGACAGCATGGAGGACTGAGGAGAGATAGAGGGCTGTGTGTTGTCTAAACGCCCTGGGATTCGTCTTGGGAAAATAAAGTCCATGCATTTTGTGCTTACTCACTTGACCCGAAGGCCTACATTTAGCCTAATGTAAAAATGGAAGTGGACGTGATTATTTTGAGCACTGGAGAGATAAAAAAGAAAAATAATAATGGCTACTTCGAGAGTAGATTTGAATTAGTATGAGCAGTTATTTAGATATTTAGAAATAGTGTGGAGAGCAATTTAAATAATGCTTGCACTGAACATACTGTTTACTTATCTATATATAACGTCAGTGTCCAGTTCTGCACACTTCCAGTGCTTTATAGAGACCACAGTGTCGTTACTCGTCTCGATTTGAATGATTATTTTGTTTTTAGTCTAGTGTTTAATTTCTATTCTTATTTCCTTTCATTTTTTAATATCTTGGGCATTTATATATTTAAGATTTAAGATTAAGTTTTTTTTTAAATATATATTTTTGAGGTTTGTGGTCTTCAGTTAAATTGTGAGAAGCAAGCTGTAGTTATAGATAGTCTATATATGAAAAATACTTTCATAGTCTTTCTGAAAAATGCTTCAAAGCTAGAGCTCGTGCGGTCTGTTTTATATTTATCGTTTGGTTCTGATTTGTTTCAGCGTGTTTCGACACTTGGCAATGTGTTGATTTTGGTCTGCAGTCATTGTCAGTGTTGGGCCCAGCCTCGAGCTGGCCACATGAGGTCAGGCTTTTTTTTTCGTCCAGTTTTTTACTCAGAATTCAAGATATTATTAAAATACAGACTGACTAGGTAATGGTACGTTGAGCACAGATTGTACCCTTTCAAATGATTACATATTTTCAAATTATAACATGAGACAGTCTATTACAAGGATGATTTGCTTGAGGCGTTTTTTAACTTGCCACTACTTTCCGAATCAGCATGTGACTTCCAGATTTGTGGTCGCAGTAATAAAATCCACTGAGCAACAAACTGAACTAACGTTTGTTTAAGAAAATATTGTAAGAAATTTCTGAAGTTGAAATCTTTTACTCTGTACTAAATTTCATCAAATTTTAAATATAATAAGTTGATACTCGTTACTGTTCGGTCACTATTAAATTGCTACCATAATAGTTACTACTATTGTAACTATAATGGAGTTAAAATATGACTTATTTTTGGAGTTATTTAAATGAGTATAATGAAAGATACATTCAAAATGTTTGGGATAATGAATGCATGCAAGTGAATATCAACAAAACTTCAAATAGTCTCCTGAAGTCATGCGGCAATCCCTCTATGGACGCTACTAGGTCAGATGTATGTAGACTTGAACCACAGATTGATTAAAAATGCATATTCATTAATACACGTCATCGCTGGGCGGCAGACTGCACGAGCAGTGAATGTCAATGTGATTTTTTTTACCTATTATGTTATTTTTCTTTAATATTTGAGGTTTATTTTCTTGGTTATTGTATGTCCAGTGCGCTGGTGTGTGCACATGACATGTTACCTAGTTTAAAACACATTTGGTGTTTTCGCTTGATGTTCTACCTCACGTTGCATTATGGTCCTTAGAAAGTGGAAAACTATTAATTGTCTTTTCTGATTTTCTTGTTAATTTATACAGCTGTGCAACACTTTGGCTAAAAGGTTTCAGTTTCTTTGTTGCATTTTTTTCATTACTCAAATAAACATTACTAATAAGACCAGTGTCTCTATTGTGTATGTGTTGTCCTGCCATAGCAAAATATTCACTAATACTGAGCCTATTTTCACGAAAGCTTGGTTTTGTTGTGCTTAAATGAATCACAAACTAAATAGAATCTGTCACTTATTTAAATGTTAATGTGGTACAAATATAAGATATAGGTATGTTTAATTCAAGCCCAGTTTAATTGGTTTTATATGCTCTATTAAGAACTTATTTTGTCCTTGTTTGATCTGTCTGCTCGGTTGATGTATGTAATCGCTAAAACGAAACAGTTTAATGCATGCCAAATATGGAGGTTGACTCCTTTTTCAAAGAAACATTAAAACCATTTTATTTAACATTTTAAGACCAGAGTTTCAAATGAAGGCCATGTAGTGGGAGCAGTGTTGTGAGTACTGGTGGCCTCATTGCCACAAGAAAATGCACGGCTAGACAGTGACTTGTTTTCTTTTTTCTCTGACATACAGTAATATATGACATATTAAGTAATTCCTGTCACAATTGGGCCAGTTTTATTGTCAAAAAACGTCCTTATTATAAATTCACGTTTGAAAAGATGGTATTTTATTATATGACGTTTATTCAACTTTGTACAGCTAAAAGAATGTTTGCTTTGAATTTCCTTCAAATGTGCCGTTCTACATCAATGAAAAATATTGACATAAACAGTTGTTCATAATAACCACAGTCGTTCATTTTATTTACTTTTGGCGAGGGTTTGTTTGAAGTAATGCATTGTATTCATGTGTAACCGATATTGTCATTTGAATCAAGTAAATTCAAAGCAACACTTTTTCAGGAATATGTAGGAAATTAGACGTCAATAACATACTGCCATTAAACTATGAAGCTACGCTGCTGCTTTTGCTGTTAGTAAAATTCATCAAAAACCCATCTATATATCTGTCTATCTATCTATGTATATATCTATCTATGTATGTATATATATATATATATATATATATATATATATATATACCACACACACAGTATGTTCTTTTCATTCTTTTGAAAAGTAAAAGATTGGTCAGTGAAGTATTCAAATAATCTTTCGGTCATTTCACAAATAGGTCAACAACATAATGTTTTCAGGCAATGTTATTTGCAGTGATAAAACTAAAGGGTCAAAAATGACAAAAAATCTGTACTATTAACTATAGATACAAATAATGGTGCTGTGTTGATAACATTGTATACACGAAGTGATGATGGAGCAAATTCTTGCACAGAAATGATTCTATTAAGCACAGCTCAGGCGCATTCACCGACGTTAGCATGTTTAGCATGTTTATGTTAGCATGTTTAGCCTTCAGACATCATTCATTTGTGCCAATGATTAAAAAGGTCATTAAACATCACGGTACGTCCCTTTATGTGTCACACGCTTTACGATAATAACACGCCTTAATGTACCTATCATTATTATTACTATACAATTGCGTGTGATATCTGTAGAGAAATTTGTCGCTAATTAAGAGACATTTGCTTTATGAAACATCATAGACCATCATTTCTCAAGAGACGATCCAGCGTTTCCGAATGCGTGGTTTACCAACAAAAAAGAAAGAGTGTGTGTGTGTGTGTGTGCGTGTGTGTGTGTGTGTGTGTGTGTGTGTGTGTGTGTGTGTGTGTGTGTGTATGTGAGCATGTGTTTGTGTGTAAGGGGGGGGGGTTAGGCCATTGGAAACGTTTCAAATGTGTCTGTTCCCTAGTACAAGGACAGGCTTATACTGACCAGCGCACTTTAAAGGCCAATACCGGCCATCTGAGTGCGGACATCACTGAAATTAACTCCCTCAACTAAACAAAACTGCTATCCCAAATATGTTGCCTTGTTATGTACAAAGTACCAAAAACAAGTGGTTGAATTACGTTGAGGAAAATCACTGGAACTAACCGAGGCTAAAAAGCCTGGCCCAGAAGTGCCACGTTCAAATGTGTGTCCGCCAACCATTTACGCTGGACCTTCGACACGCAGGGAAGGTTTTACATCATGCTGGCATATTGGAGCTCACAAGACTAAACGCATCTCCCCTTGAATGTGAGGAAAAATGCTTAGTGTAAGATAAATCACGCAGTTTCCTCATTTGTCTGACCATTGTTTTGATCTGTGTGGGAAGAAGATATGTTAAAGCTTTTGAGGGTCCCTATCCCTTACCCCTACGTCTTAACTAGCACGCTTTTAACACACGAGCTACTGTATGACATCATGATTGCTGCGTCATTTAGACCATTTTGGAATATATACAACACTGAGACTAATGCTACTGCACTTTAAAATGTTTTCATGTCAATATCTATCATTATATGTTGGTAAGATGTTATACAGTACATAGTATAGAGTATAATAATAATAAACAAGGATCAATGAATAACCAGAGTATATTCCCATGCCTAGCACTGGCTACTAATTTAAAAGGTAGTAAGCAAATACGTATGTGTTTTATTTTCTTGCTTGAAAAGGGTCCAGTAAGCGATTAGAAAAAGGACAATGTTTCAGCAGAGCTACCAAATGGACACTGGGGTGGACCTCTGCAAAGTCTTACAGGCTTGTTAAATGTGTATTTAGGCAATAGAAAAGTCATTCATAATCATCGTGCTTGAAATCCTATTAGCAATGTTTAGTACGACACAAAATTTGCGAGCGACTTAATACAAAATATTCATACTTTATAGCATAAATCTATTAGTTACAAAGCTCATTTTTCGTCTACTCATTCCTATTAGGCTCCTGAACCTAAAGGCATCCATATTCGGTAGAA